GCCTGGCAAACACACCCGAGACAGACATTTTCAGGTTTCAGCTCTACAGCTGACTTCCATCATAGTAACCAGAGGTGGGAAGTTAATCACTCCCAGAGTAAGCTGAGCTGAACAGGAAGAGGCAGAGGAGACAGGATCCCACTCAACTGAGGCCTGGACTCGGGCGTTGGGGCACTTCCTCTCTCCTAGTCCTTCTTAGTGGGAGTGACTGAGCCTGGTAAGAAGCTTGGGGTGGTGGTGTTCCTATCCCCTTATGGCGAGGGGCTCACAAAGCACCTGTGGGCCTTCAATCCATGGACAACAGGCTAGGCAGAGGCTAGGTGGAGGGGTGGGGCCTGGTTAGTGGTGAGTTTCAGGTATCAGGAAAATGAGGTGTAACCCTTTCCCCCAACCCTAACTTGAAGTGGTCAGTGCAGCAGAGGTGCCTGCCCTGAGGTAACAACTTTCTGGCTGGAGGAATGGCCCATGTGCCCTCTGCTCTCTTCCTTTCTTCTGGGGGGAAGGCAGTAATCAGTATGGACTTTCTAGAGCAGGGCCACCGCCACCAGTGGCATATTCTTGAATCAGTCCACCGCCACCAGTGGCACGTTCTTGTTGACTGTGTTTTGACCTCCCTAGAAACATACCACCCACCCCAAGGCTCAGGTAGGCATCTGATTGCTTTCTGCCACTGCCAGGGAGCTCTCTGCTCACCATAATATCTGCAGATGGGAGAACCGCGTTCTCTACAAAGCTTCAAATTAGCTTCTCTCTATTCCCTCAAGGACTTGGGATCTCAGGCTGGAGCCTCACAAGTTTGTCCCTACCATTTGGCAGGGCATCAACAACCAGCAGAGCCCTCTCTCTCTGAGGCTGCATCTCTCAGGGAGACCGCAGCTGAGCCTGCAGGAAGAAGGGTTGGGGTTGTGGATCTCTTCCTTCTATTTGCTTATTTTTCTATTTTCCAGGCTGTGTGCAGTGTTTCTGCCTGGTGACCTTGTCCTTGTAGAGGATAGAGGGTAAGGCCGGTCTGGTGCATTGGGCGTGGCTGGCAGTGAGGAATGAGGTGGAAAAGGAGGTCTCCCTAGAATGGATGTTGGGGAACTTCACATTCTCCACCAGCTGAGCTTTAGACAAAAGGAGTTGGCTCCCTCTGCTAGCCCAGAACTGAGCCACAGAACACCTCCAAGATTCCACATCCATTTTTATGAATGATGAGATGGTCTAGGACACTGGAATGTATACCGTACCCTAACTAGTCCTCTGTCATATCAAACACTGTCATTAGGCCCCTGTGGAACTTGTGTGCTGGGCTACCCCATCTGGATTCTGGCTGGAAATGTATGTGTGTCTTTTTCAAGAAGACACTCATAGTCTTCCTTCCTCTCTTAGACCATCAGACACCTCCACTTGGTCTTCAGTGGCCTGTGGAAGGAGAGTCCGTGGGCAGCCAGGAAGCCAGAGGTTGGACTCTTGAGTACAAATCTTATTGGACAATGTGGGGCAGTCCTTCACCTTCTTCCTAAGTTTCCCCCTCCCACCCAGCCCTGCCTCCTTGGCAGAATCACTTGGCAAAACGAAAGTAAGTTGCATGCTTAAAAACATACAACTGAAAACAATTATTGGAATTCCAAAACAAAACAAGAACGGAAACAGTCTGTACCCAGTACTCTGCTCTATGACCCCTGCTCTCCTGTAATTGTCCAGTTCTGGACCTAGAAATCTTTACTGGACAGTTTCCCCTTGGGGCCAAGAGACTAGCGGACCAGGCCAAGGCCAACCTGCTTGCGGTATGTATAGCCTGAGTTAAGCTGGGAAAATGCCATTGCTTGATTATGTAAAATCCATCTGGGTTCAAAGCAGGAAACCAAAAGGTTGGAAAACTATCTAGTCCAGCCTGCCCCATCTATTGATGGGAAAAACTAAAGCTCTGGCCCAAGGCCACTCAGCAAGCGCATTTCTCCAGAGTGCCAGCCCTGAATGCCCAAGTTGGCTCTTGGTCAGAACTCTAGGTCTAGCACTTCAGGGCTGGCTAGGTTTCTGTTCTGTACCACGAATACCACAAGTAAACTAGGTTCAAACACGTATTGTGTCCCTCTCTAGGCTTTTTCCTTTTCAATAACAAGGAACAGAGAGTTCATCTACCCTGGCCTCCAAGAACCCATGCAGTACTCAAACCATTAAGTGAGACTAGATCCGTATGCAAATGTCAGACATATCTCACATCACTCTGGAGGAATAGACTGGCATTGTCTATCTCAGAAACCTAGACCCAAGGGAGAGAGAAAGCAAATAGGGCAACTTAGATGGTTGGCCTGATCTAAGCCTAACAGAGGGAGTCATGTGCGCTATTTCTGAGGGGCCTCCCTAGGCAGTAGTCAGCTGTCCCTTCCTCGCCACCTGGAGCATTGCTGGTTTCTAAATTTAGGACCAACGAGAGCTGCAGTTTTGACTTGGAAAGGTGTATGATACCGCAGGATAGGGGCTAGACAAAGCTGGCCTTGCCACCTGGGCTGGCTTCCCAGGACATAGCCCTCTTGCAGCACGGCCGCCTGCCTAAGGCTGAAGCCAAGAAGGGAAGAAGTACGATTGTGGACAACAGATAAAACCTTCGATACCATCTCTATTTCCCCTCCAATATCAGAGTGGCTGCCTGAAGACAGTAAAGGGTGGCAATCAATCACTAATATTCCTGGTGAGAGCTGATCCATTTCGGAAATGGGCTGTCACTTCCTCTTTTATAGAGAGATGCCCTTTCTCTTTGCAGGGGCCCAGGCCAAGTGATCAGCATCAAAGACAGCAAGCACCATGCTGAGTGCCTGACCTGCCCCACCTCCCTTCATCTGAAGAAAGGGGGATGATGCTGGGGAATAAGAAACATAGCTGCTCAGAGGCATTGAGAGCAGAGAGGCCTGGGCTCCAGAACCTTCTTGAATGGCCCAGCCAACCCTTGGCAGTACACCTTGCCTGGAGAAAAGGCATGACCTCAAGGCAAGAATCTAAAAGATACCTCTGTTTAACAGTGGATGCTAGTGGCTAAATAAGGGCAGGAATCTGTTTGGGCTTTCTGACCACACACCCCCAAACGTCATAGGGGAGGGCCCACAAAGTATGAGTGGAATTAGAACTTAACCGTGGAAGAGTCTAGCAAAGCAGGAAGCTGGGAGCTGCCCACATATCAACAGACCCATTCCTTGTCCTAGGCTCAGGCCAAAATAGAAGCCAATGGCCTATTTTTAAAAATACAACTGGCAGAACTAGAGAGATGGCTCCGCTGTTAAGAGCACTTGTTACTCTCACAGAGGATTCCGGTTAAATTTTCAGTGCCTACATGGTGGCTCATAACTACCCATAACTCCAGTTCTAGGGGGTCCAGCATTCTGTCCTGACTCCCAAAGAGTACTTCATTTGTTTAAAAACACAGTCATCTACTCTTGACTTCTCACTACAATTGCCTGCAGCGAGAACAAGGGAGCTAATAATACTCCGGAGAAAACTCAGGGCAAAGGCACACAGGTGGCTGTGATACCTGGGTGGGCTCTGTCTACCAGGCAGGGAAGCCATGCTTTTACTGCATCAGGGATCTGTGACACCGCGTGCAGAGACACAGGAACCACAGAAAGAACTCCCACTGAGCAGGACAAGAGTAGGAAGGCCTGACAGATCCTTGCCTCCCCTCCGGTAAAGGACACAGCTCTTGCTTTCTCTCAGACCCTCTTCCTTATGTCTGTAGTCTTACCCCAAGACTTCTGAAGCCACTCCTGTCTCCAAACCTTGAATGAGGCCCTAGTGCTGGTGGCATGCTGGGAACACACAGATGCCGTGAACTATCATCCCTGTATCTCCCTGCCTGCTGATACACAGCCTGCTGCTTCTCTGTTCTACGTAGCAAGCAAATTTTACTGATGCCTTTCTTCTTGGTGAGTAATGTGCTCTAGCCCTCCTCTTCCCAGATTTCCCACCAACTAAAACGTGCAATCTTACAAAGTGCAAGTGTCTCCCAGCCATGGCACAGGAAGAGACCTAACGTTTCCATGGAGGTATCCATTGTCTTTGCTCATGACTCCAAGGCTCCCAATCCTGCACTGTGCACATCGCCCTCTGGTCTAACTCTATATTCCTGAGCTTTCCACCATTAAGAGCTCTCTCCACAACCTTGGCTGGGAGCCCCACCCTTCAGAAGGCGTGGACAACCAGGCACTCCTCAAACTCAGTGAGGACAGACTTGACAGAATTGGCGATGTCACAATCAAGAGCTCCACCAGGAAAGCCTCTTTCTCACAGCCCCGCAGGCTGAGGCTGACACTTTGCTGCCCCAGCTTGGCTGTAGAGGAATGCGCACCAGAAGGGAAGGGAGAGAACGGAAAAGGGGAGGGAAGTGGCCACACCTTACCCTGACAAAACAACACAGGTGATTTCACACCTCCCATGGCCCTACCCAAGCCAGAAAGACCAACAGAGTGTGTTGTAGAGAAGGTGGGACTCCCATCCCATGTACGCTCCATCCCTGCCTGTGGTGGGAGGAGAATGGTCACCAATATTGTGGGGTGCCGCTTGTGATCACATGGAAAGAAAAATCAGTGGTTAGCCGTAGTTAAAAGGGTGTGGAGACCCGCCAGGGCGGTGGGACTTTTTGTTTTTCTAGTTACGCCTAAGGTTTATAGTTTGGACAGGAAAAGTAAACAATGACGATGACAGCAGCAACAGAACAGAAACAAAGGACAGTTTACTCATTAAAAAAAGGAAAGACAAAGAATACGCCTTTTGTTAAAAGAAAGTTCCACGCTGGCCTGGAAACCCTGACCTCCTCCACACCAGGGCGGGCAGAAGGGCACGGCCATAGCCTGCCTGGTGGTCCACACCTTCCCCATCTCCTGCTTCCCTTCTGCAGCTTGTGGACAGGAGGGTGTGGGGCCTCAACCAGCACAAAGCAACTGTATTTAAACCATGGCAAACTGAGCTACTCTCCTGCTCTCCGTCCCTCCCACCTGCCCAGAACAGGGCCCCAGACCAGCACATACCTGAAAGAACCCTGGTGGGATGGGGCCTCCGGGCATCCCATCGTTGGGGGGAATGTTGCCAAGCACAGGGCTTGGGGCAGCTGCTGCACTCTGTGGAGATAAAACAGGGAGGTCAGTGGCAAGCATCCAATGACACACAGAGCTTCTGGCCCGGCCCCGAACAGACCCTTCCTCCTCAAAGGCCACTTTCTATGAAAAGCCCTGCAGAGGTGCTAGTTAGTGGCCAAGCCACAGACTTGGGGGACCCCCCCCTGCTTCTTCTCTAAAATGGGGGAATGTGTACCAGGCACACCAAAGGAGTGATGGAACAGGGACATAGCAAAAATACTCATGGAATAACCGGCAGAGAGGTGACGGGCAGCCAGTACAGTGCCCACTGTTGAACTATACCTTGCCTTTCCACCAGCTCCTCTAAGAAGCAGGGGGACCAATTCATGAACAGTGGTACCTACCCTCTCCAAATGGGTAATATGCTGCAAAGAACAAGCCAATAAATATCCAATAAGAAAATACCCAGTTAGCGAGAAGGATGTGTGTGCTCTGACCCTCACCAGATCCCAAATGCCTCGAGAAGAGTGTGGGTTACACAATAGGAAACAGTCACTGCTGAATGCTGTTGTCCTGGCATCCACTTGGTACAACTGCCTCAACAAATGCTTCCCAGGGGTGGGATGACACTGGATGCCCCACCTGGCCACCTTCCAACAATGTGTCCAACCTGTTGGTGTGGCCAGCACGTCTGCTCACACGTGCGGAGCTGGGGCTGAGATGCCAAAGCCCTACCTTGACAAAGTCAAAGATCTAGGCCTCTTACCTGAGCTTTGATTCCAGGCTTTCCCACTCAAGCCAAAACCCCCAGGTACACCGCCCACTTCCACTCAACCCTGCTCCTCCCAACACTACTGGGACCAAGAACATGGCACTCCCTCATCAACCACCTTCTCATCACTCCCAGAGATTACTTCTTTTCTTTCCTTGACATAAAATAGAAACATGGTCTCCAACTAAAATACCATATACAAGAAAATGAACAATGCGCCAGACAAGAGCTATTGTTTATGTGGAATATTCATGGCCCACTGGCCTCTGAGGTTGTGCCTGGTTCTACCTCCGTGGTAAGAATATGGGATGGACTGAGGTCTGCAGTCAGGGAAAGATCTGTTGATGGGGGCATGAAGAGCCAGTAAGGGACTGCAGTGGGTACCTGGCAACTCCCAGGTAAAGAGAAGGTGCTATGAGCTATTTTCAAAAATGAAGGCACCTACAGAGCCTAAGGAGACCCTGCCTAACCCCACACTGCAGGTCTGCATCTGTTTCCCCAGTCTATAGCCTTAGGCATGCATATGCACAGATAGAGCAGACAGACAGACAGACAGACAAGGAGTTTCCCCTCCCCAGTTCTGCCTTTATCTGGGAGAGGTTTCAAAGGAGGAATCAGCAGGCTCAGCCACTAGCTGCATTATTGTTTCTATGAATACACACACACACACACACACACACACACCCCAGGAGGAATCAGCAGGCTCAGCCACTAGCTGCATTATTGTTTCTATGAATACACACACACACACACACACACACACACACCCCTCCCTACCTGGCCTAGAACTTACTATTGGACTAGGCTAACCTTGGAATTCACAGCGAATCTTCCTCTGCCTGCAAGATTAAGTTGCAACTTTTTGTACTAACAATTACTTCTCTGCAGTAGGAATGAAAGGACCTAAAAGCGGTGGGGGCTGAGATAAACATCCATGTCTCTCTTGAGTTTCCTCCAGAAGAGGTATTGCATTGAACTCCCTCATTCTCCATAGACATCATTCATTAGCCACCTGACTAGCTGACCTGGAATCATAGCTTACTTGATAGGATCTTTTGGTATTTTGATCAACATTATGGATTATGACATGAAGTGCCTTACTCTGATAACTGTAGTTCTACTTTCATAGTAAAACATTCAAATTCTTTGTTATTTGGGTATTTGGCTTTTTACATATTAAGGTATTTGTTACAATGGTGGGAAGCACAAACTTTTAAAGGAAAGACTGAATCTGTGAGTACGTTGCTGTTTCACTTTTATGAAATCATAAGTGGGCAGATGGTCCTGGGGACGAGGGGTGGGTGAGAGACCAGGGCAACTACTGTCCTAATTAAGAGGCTGTGGTAACTTTCAAGACAGCCATGTCAACCATGAGGAAGGAGCATGAAGCTTCTGGAAGATAAACTGAGGAGCTCCGAGGTGCTTCAGCTGGAATTGGAATGGACACTTAAAAGGGCGGAAAAGCAGCAACTGGTGCCAAGAGGTAAACGCTAGGAGACTAGGGAGGGCTCAAGAGAAACCATTACAGACCCTCACCTGGGAGACCCAGTCCACATCTGGTCCACCCTCATCCTCCCACACCTTAACCACAGGATCTGCCTACCTATGCCCAAGACTCAGCACAGGGTGCGGCATACAGCAAGTGTTCAATAAATGAGTGCTCTATTATTCAAAGGCCTGCCCAAATATGACCACCTTGGAGCCAGACCTTTCAGGATTGCTAAGAATTGGCCTCTCCCTGTGGTTTCGAGCACTGAGAGTTCCATTAAGGCACTCAACAAAGTATCTCATGTGAGTTTTCTCAACAAACCCAAATCCCTGGCACATTCTCTGGGCCAACAGCATACTACACTACATAGTTGCTTAGGACGAACAGCCAGCCACACAAGAATCAAGGCAGAAAGGACACCCGATCTGAAAGGCCAGGACCTCACACATTGGACTTGGTCCCTTCTCATGTAGGGACATCATTTCCTTTTTTTAAGGACTGCCAATCCTGGTGCATACACAATGGGAAGAGGAAGCCAGGAAACAGCACAGCACGAAGAACAAAGTGGCAGCCCTCCCTTCCTCCAGAACACTCACAAATCAAAGATTAAAAGCACCTAGACACCTGACTGTCTCTGAGCCCTGGCATGTGGGCCATAGACCCTAGACCCTCCTCCCCAGCACTGATTTTAGCATGGACACATGGACAAAGGAGAAAACATGAGCGCACACACACCCCTCCAGTGCATGTACACATGTACATCCAAATATATGCACATGAATACACAGGGTCTTACATCTATGCCAATGAAGTTTCAGGAAAAATGAATGAAGTGAAATACTCATGGGTCTTTAAGATGGTTCAAAGGTAAAGGTACTTGCTGCCAAGCCTGAATCTGAGATCAACCCCCAGGTCCCACACAGAGCAGAGAAAGAAGCAGTTCTTCTAAACAAACCTCCATGTTCAAGCTTCAGTAGTGCCTATCCCCATAGAATAAATAAATATGATTTGTTTATATAAGTGGACAGATGAACCCTGGACTCTCCTGAGCCAGCCAACTACTCCTGACCAATTTAACAAGGCTGCAAAAAAATAGTACTTTGTTCTACAAATTCCGCTCTTTGCGTCCTGCCCAACACTCAGGCCTTGGCATGCAGCAGCACAGCCACGTGTGAAACCACCAACTGCAAGCCTTCCTGGACTGAAACTCAAGCCAGGCCACGTGGCAGAGGGCCCAAGCTAGCAGGGGGCAGGAGGTGTGTCATACATGTGTCCAGGGAAATCAAAGTGACAAAGATAGGTGTGGTCCTGGCAGAAATACCCCCTGGGAAAAGCTAGAGATCCATGCTGCTCCTAGCAAGTCAGCCCAAAGGTCTGTGCAGAGCCCTGGGGTAGCCTGGTATAATCCAGCAGTATCAACAGGGTAAAGATGCACGGTGGGAATTCAAAGGATAGAGAGAATGCCATCACCCCGCAGCAAGCCAAGACCAGAGCAGTGGAGAATTGAAGATGTGCAAAGAAAGTGGTCCCCTGGTCTCCCACACAGACCAGAGCACCATGAATTTTAGTGGAGCACGAGTTCTGATTGTGCAGCTCAGAGAAAACAAAGGGCTGACCTCCATGAAGAGACAACACCAACTAGAGTAAGAACAAGTTCCGGGGACAAAGGATCCCTGCTCTCTAGCCAGGAGGCTATCATGGGCGAAGAGGTAAACTCACCTGCCTAGGACCAAGGAATGGCTCTAGGTCCAACAATAGAAATCTCAAGCTACACAAAGTTTCCCTGATCTGTGTCCTGAACTGGCTCACTAGTGATAGATCAAGAAAGAGGTTGCCGTATTACCCACTACCACCTAGCATGTGCTGGGGATTATCATAGACGAACCCTGGACCAAGGGTCCTCAAATCAAGGTTTAGCTCTGGCCACAAACTACCCACTATGAGCCGTGGTCAGGCTTCCATACCGGGAGCATCTGGCACCCAAGGCTTGTGAGGTTCTGCCTGAGCCCTTTAAGCGTCCAGGCAGTCACAGCCAGGCTGCTGAGCGCAAGGGAGGAAGATCTGACACAGCTGCTTCTTTGACAAAGTCCTTTCCCCCGTGGTACCAGGATTAACTCAGGAGCAGCCAGAGAAGTGAGCACCTTTTCACTCTGATCCCATAAACCAGGAAGGGGGGGGGGGGGAGAAACAGGAAGCATTTATGCCCCAGTATCCAAGAAAGCTGACGTTTCTGGTTTAATCTGTAAGGAGACTGAGTGTTAAGGTTATACAACTAATAATTAGGTCTAACTTTAGTCCCTAAACTTCTGGCCTCAGTTTCAGGAAACCCCAGCATCAGTCTTCCCAGAAGCCCCCGCAATTCCAAAGAAAAGCTGTGTACTTTCTGGCTCGTGAAGAGAAACTGCAGACCGATCATTAAACCATCCAATAATCACAAGTCATTCTGTGACTGAGGTCACCTACGTGTTCTGAACATTCCCAAGGAGGCTGACCTTCTACTTGGCCCTCTCTATCAACTATTTCAAACTATTGCCAAGAAGTAGGGAGTGAGACTGTTTGTACGTCAAAGACAAGAAGATCCCTCCGAAGAGTCTGTGGACCTAACCTGCCAGTGGCCTGCCTGGGAAGAGGAGGAGAGACTGGGATGTAAGGGGTCGGCATACATCAGAGGTACTGAGCAAACACTCTGGAGACAGTACTGCACCAACGAGGCAGGGAGGTGACAGGGCATGGGCTTGTCTTAAAGGCCTGGAAGACGAAGTGAGTTGTGGTGACAGAACT